GCATTGTATCATCCACTGTGACAGATGATTATTGCATTTCTTTGGTAATAACCATGAACTCAAGATTGATCCAGGCTATACAGGAAAACACAAATGATAAATTTGAATTCTAGATAGATTCAATTTATTATATAGAATGTTACAGCATAAAAGAACCACACATCTTCCAACTATGACTTGTCTTGAACTCTTTCAGCCTTAAACACTGCATTCCCAGAATCGATACATTTCATGTTGACTGCACCCTGCTTCCCATTCGTCACTTCCAGCAGGAGAGAATTATTTTGTCCCAGGAGAACAAAATCAGCAGTTCCCTTTATACAAGGAATGTCTGACCCTCCTCTGGGAGAGCTTAACACCAGTCATGGAGAACACAGCATCACTACATCAATCAAAATGATCTATTGGTATGGAGAAGCAATAATCTAGAGATCTCTCACAAGAAGTAGATACAGTCTCCCACCAAAAGACTCCCTGACCTATGACATAGAGGAGATGGGGGTGACTGTCTTGAGTGACAATGGCAAATTACTGGCAAGTTAATGGCAAGGATATTTGATCCCATCCCTGCAGCCCTTGGATGTTACATATCAAGGGTGAAACCATGTTCAGAACACAGATAATAAGCACTCAAAGGCCTGAATTAGAACTATGTCTGATGTAAGTGAACATCACTCAAAATAAATATGCCAGCATCATTCTGGAAGCCCAATCTCACATGCTCCTGCAAAAGCAATATCTGCAAATCAGCAGTAACAATCTGCTCTCTGGGTCACCCTCCTGGAGCATAGCCAGGAAACAGGGCCCCATAGATGCAAGTCCCAGAGCTTTCCAGGATATCTTGTAATCCATATATGCAGGAGGAGAGAGAATACCCCAAAGGGGAGAAACAGAAGTGCCACCAAAAGAGGATTTAAAACTTTCAAAAAGGTCACTCCAAAGAGCAAGGCTCTCTGAGCTGCAGGACTAGGACAAGGTTCCCACTTGTCAGGTCTAATAGTGATATTGCCGAGCACCTCCAGATTTACACAGAGCTTAAAGGAACCCAGGTGAATACAGGACTGAAGAGAATTAGCCTCTACATCTTATATTACATATATACATCTTATATTACATATATGATAATGTTTCCAAAGATGATATTAACATCTAACATTAAAGTTCTCCACTTTCACAAGGAGGGAAGCCCAGAAGACTCATCCTAGGACTGCCCTCTGCCCTTGTAGCCA